ACCTTTTTCAAATATTTTCCGCCAAAAGCTCTCTCCCATGCAAGAGACACTTTTCACAGCTGTGCAAGCTTGATTATTGCTGCCATATGTTTTGAACAACTGGGAAACCGATTGTTAGGCATTTTTAAATGCGCTTTAGATATATTGTAACAAATGCAATTGAAAGTTTAGTTAAATGTTGCATAATTAAGCGAAAAGCTTTCGAAACAGCACACAATACAAAGTTGAATCCAGTGGAGCTTTTGGGCGAAAGCTTGCAGGTGCGTAAGCTTTACGAGTTTCCTTTTATAATGAATTCATGTATTAGTATATATGTATATATGTATGTATGTATAGATACAGATATTGTACATATATATGTATATATGCAACCTCGCATTTAACACGGTTCACTGAGGCAAACAAGAGAGCTGGTGCTGGTGCTGGTGCTAGTGCTGGTGTTGAAATTTTGAAATTCAGCCCCCAAAGGAGACATTAAATATTTTTTGAACGAATTCATAACGAATGCAAACGAATGCACTACGACGACCTTGACTGGTGGTCTATAGTCCACTAAAGGGCAACCATCTCTGGCCATCTCTGCTCTCCTTAGCTGTGCCCCTAAATACATACGTACAGTCCTCCCAGGCCTCAACCACTTTCTTTGGTTACTGTGCGCACGTTTTTAGTTCCCATTCCAGCTATTTTATTTTTCTATGTTAAACAATGACGAAACTCGGCTATTGGTTTCACTCCAACACTACTACTGCCGCTGTCCTCAGCAGGCGCCCATCAAACTAATTGTTGCCTGTTTAGCTGCTATTGAGTGAGTGTCGTGTTGCCCGTTTGTCCAGACACCCCCATCTGCAATTATCTATTGGGACTTGTGTCGTTGTGTCAACAAGAAAGGCAAAATTGAAACGAAAAAAAAAAAAAAAAAAAACAAAAAAAAAAATGGGGAAAAAAATAGAATAGAGCGGTAAAAAATAGAAAAGCAGAGAAGGGAAAACAAAAAATTCGAAACGCGACAGCAAATGTCAAAGAGTGAAAACATTCATCAATCATGGTAAGGTCATTTCCAGCGTGAAGAAAATGTTTTCATTATTGGCCAGCGCGCCTGACAATGCCAATTGCAAAAGGGCAGACATTACAAGAACACCACCACCTCCATTCCACGCCAAAGTTATGGATTATGGATGGGACCGGGGCATGGGCGTGGGCATGGACGTGGGTATGGTTAGAGGGGGGTCGTGCTGATTGAGTGTAAACGCTTCAAATACAAGTATATATACTTGTATGTATAAAAGTTTGACAGACGAATAATTTACAATTGAAAAGTGCTGGAGTAGAGCGACTACTACTCGTACATTAATAATCAATTCTATGGGTTACCGGCCAGGCCAGGCCAGGCCACGCGACCCTGAATTTGGGGCACGTTTTTCATTTTATTTTATTATGCCAAGCGACAATTTTGTTTTTTTTTTTTTTTTTTTTTGTTATACGCCATAAGCTAAGTGAGCGCTAAGTGGACACAATATAATTAACCCCACTCTATCATTTTTTCGCTGCCAATAAGGTTTGCCCTTTTCATATGCTCTACCCACACACATACTCGTACTATACTACATATATACATATATATTGTGCATATACATGCATATATAGTAGGTACATACATATGTATGTATGTATGTATGTATGTCGAGATCGTGTGTACACATAAATTTGAGTGGTGCGTTGAAAAGTCTGCCAACCCTAACTACTCGTAACAGACACGGGAGGAGGGCACTAAAGCGCCGGGAGCTCGAAGCTTGCAGCTCAGCGAGTAAACAAAATTTAAATTATGCCCAAAACGTACAAGAAAACTGAATATTAAAAAGTGGAAAATGGGAAGAAGAAGATGACAATGACATGATGAGGAAGACAACGAAAGAAACGAATATACATGCATACATATGTACATATGCATGCATGTATATACATAAATACATATGTATATATAATTGTTCGGCCAAAGGGGCGTATGAGTAATATTGATTTTCACTAATTGGATTTTCAGTGCGAGCAACGAATTATTGTTGTCGGCATTTCTATTTATTGTTGTTATTATTGCTGTCGCCTCGTACTAGACCAGACCAGACCAGCAAGCCCAGCCAGAGCCAGCCACAACCAAAATTTAAGGAAAACAAATTAAAACACACACAATAGATTAAGTAACAACAATTTTATGTGCAGTCAACAACAAATTGAAATGAAAACATTAATTGAAACGGCAACAATAACTGAAGCTTTAATATCACTCTGGCGACATTCCACCTCCACAATTCCCACACTCCACCCTTCAACTGTTCCGTTCTCTAACCACGCTCCAGTAAAGATGCCCCCGAGATTGCAAATAATTTGCATTCAACTTAAGCTAAGGACTAGAGCTGTGCACGTGACATTAAAAAACAGGAGCACGTCACGCTTACAAAACATAATCACTCTAAATATTTATTTATTCCGTTTTCCGGCATTATATCTAGCGATGCAACGTAAAATGTTTGTTCGCATTGCTGAAAAAAAATGTCACCCCATTAAATGATGTTGCCAATTTTTGTCTCTCAATCAGATATGGTCAGATATGCAAATAATTTGCACAGAAATTTTCACTAATATAAGGATTTCATGTTTCTTCAATTAAACCGAATATTTATTGCATTTTCTATTGTTTTTTTTAACATCATTAACTATAGTTATCTTCTTATATAAATTCGTAATATAGCTAATAAAAGGGGTGTATTACTTAGAAATTCGCCGACCTATACAAAAATATTAATAGTTTCCTTCAAAAGCATCTTTGCTTGTTACTTTTCAGAGAATTGTAAAATAATATAAATACTGCTTTTATTTAATATTATCATTATAATCATTCTTAGAAGTGTATCAAAATTTTTCTTTAGTTTTTGACTTTTTCTTTATTTAATGCTACAAGTAGTCGATAGCTTCTCAAACTCAGTAAAAGATTTTCTTTACACTAAGTAGTTACTAAAATGATTGGAAAAGTTGAGTTAATTTAAGATTTTCTCTATTTTTTAATACTTTTTTACTTTTTATCAGATATTGCTATTAGTCTAATCCAAGGACCATTTTTTTAAAGCGAAAAAATCACTCTTTATTCCACTTCTTTTGAGTTATACTTTACAACTAAACCAATAATAATTATTTTTAAGTCAACAAACAAATAAAATTTGAAGAAGAATCATTATTTTGAGTGTTTTTTTTTTTACTTTAAAGTAATGACTTTTAATATAACTCAAAATGAATCTTTATATTGTAAGAGAACGAATGCAATTTTTTTTAAAAAAAAAAAGGGCACTATTTTGTTGTTTGAAATATTTTTTAATATAAACTCTTCAGTTTAATTTATTTTAAACATATTTCCGTAGAGGAAAATACATTACATGGTTTTTTGCTCCAAAATAAAAACCAGAAAAATTTACAGGTTAAAAAGATAATTAAAATAAAATTGATACTAATTAAAACACGGGCAGTGTACGATTTCAATAAACGACAAATTGGAAATTGTTTGGCCCTGTAAGTAGGTCTTAGATATGGCCAACATATAAATAACGCTACATATTAATACAAACGAACTTTTTATAATAAGTACTATATGTGTGTCAAAAAGATAGTATATCAACTAAAAAAAAATATTTGCACTGTATTTAGAGACAGAACAGACACCTTTAAATAAGTAGCCCTTCGTATGGCTTTTTTTTCTAATTTCAATGCGGTTTTTTCCATTAGATAGAAAAGGCAAAATAAAAATATACGCGTTTTTTTGGTTTTTTGAAATTTTGTGATTTTTTGTGTAGTTTTCTTACATTAAAGGTGTTTTTCAAAAAATTACTTTTATTTAATTAAATTTTCAATTTAAAAAAAAAATTATTAATTTTATTAAAGCTTAATGCGACCCCACATTTATCGCATTTTTACTTTATGTATTAAAAAAAATTTAATACAGAAATTTGCTTGCATCCCTCGAATCAAAAAAGTGATCATAATTTTAATTCCCTAGCTTATTTCAGTGTAAGCAAATCAAATACACTTAAAGTACCATGAAAGAACAAAATCAAGTAGAAACTTTGCAAATTTCGCGCATACATTGTAAGATAATTGAGTTTAAGCGGTATTTTGCAGATAGACATACGAAGGGTTAAAATAAAAAGCCATAAAAACGAGCTAAGCCTTGGATTTCCATTGCTTACTCTTTTAATGCCAATTGTAATTTAAAAAAAAAAAAATAAAAAAAACTATTGAAATAATTACAGTCTGTTGTTTAGTCAACTAATTTCGTGTATTCTGTAGCTTTGTAAAGTCACGGCCTCCTTTGACCTTTACAATCACGCACGCACGCGAGCACGCACAGCTCTAGTGGAGGCCACATACATGGCCTGCTCATAAACTGAAACAGCCCAGCCCGTACTTTCGTTCTTTTTAACTCTCTAACTGACTGACTGACTGACTGACTGACTGACTGAGTGAGTGACTGCCTGACTGACTTACTTATGTGCTTATGCAAATGCAAATGAGTCTAGGCACATAATTGCTCTTCTTGCCGAGCTATGTATGTGGGTGTGGGTGTGGGTGTGAGTGTGGGTGTGTGGATGCGGGTCTGTATAGTTGCAGGTGTGTATGTATAGGTGTGCATGTATTTACATTTATTATGCGCAAATGACAAATATATAACATATGTATACATTTATATACATACGGGCTGGACGAGTACACGACGATTAGACAGGTGGGGAGGAGACAAGAGTTGACCAAAAAGTTGGACTGATTGGGCCAACACACTAAGTAGGCCAGAAGGAGAATAAAGTTATGTAAACTGTTGGTTGGGTCGCTTTCATTTATAATCAGCTGGAGTTGCTAAGTTCATGTTTGGTTGACAATTGGTGGTCACTAGTAGCTGGTAACTGGTAGCTGGTAGCTGGTCTCTGGGTGTGGGTGTTTTGGATGCCAATGGCGCTACTCACCTGCTTGAAGGGCCGCATGCCGCCGTTGATCCTGAGGGAATCGGCCGCAATGCCCGCAATGCCATCTGTGGTGCTTTCGCGCAGCTGCTTGAGCGATACATTGGGAACAGTGTGCGAGTGGCCGCACGAGCTGTGGCCGCCACAGCAGATGGCAGTGGTGCTCGATTCCGGCTGGGAGCTCTGGCGTATGATGCGCGATCCGTTTGTGGGTGATGATGTGATCAGTACGGGTGGCACCTGCTGCTGTTGACTGTACTGCTGATGCAGTGAATGGTGCGAATGCGGCTGCTGCTGCTGCTGATGCTGCTGCTGTTGCAGATGTGGGTGTAACTGATGCTGCTGGAGGGCGGAATTTGATATGCATATGGCCATCGAGCCGCTCAGGTTACCCTGTTGGAAGGCACTTTTGACGCTGTCGCGCGACGCCGATCGATCGATTTGACCGGCCGTCGATATCGGCGTTGTGGAAGCACGGCGACTACAATTCCGACATGCTCGACAACGACTGGGCGCACTTGGTGGTATGCTGGATGATAGATTCTGATATGATGAGGTGCCCAGATTTGGGTGACTGCCAGGCATATGATGTGTAACCTCGTGTTGTGGTTGCGGCTTCAGATTTAAATTCATTATTGATATGGTCGGTTGTTGTTGCTGTTGTTGTTGCTGTTGCTGCTGTGGCTGCTGCGACTGCGACTGCGGCTGATCCTGATTTTTGTTGGTCATGTTGCCTGCCACAGAGGCAGACGCTGATATTGTTGTGGTCGTTGATGTGTTTTGTGTTAGTTCTTGGTCCTCTTCGTGTACTTCGATATCAGGCACAATGGATGCACGCAGTCCCTGCTCAATATCCTCGTCGTGTCCCCCACCACCGCCGCCGCCGCCACCACCGGCGACACCACCACGCATGCTCTCCTCGGAGCCCATACGCTGATGCTGCGACTGCTGGGGGCTGGTCAAGTATGTGGAAGTTCGATCCTGTCGTATCAGTGTTGGTTTGCCGCCCGACGTGGAAGCCATATTGTTCGCTGTTGGTCCGTTCGCTGAACTATTTTTGACTTGCCGCAATAATGCGGATCTGCCTTTCGATGGGTTTGAAACTAGCAATGAGTCCGTCTCCTCGGAGCTAACATATCCCGAGTTTGCATTATCGTTGAGCTTCTGAATTGACATCTGCAATAGACAAAAATCCAAAATGCATTTCAACTACGCTCCATCAACTGTTTTACATTTAATTTAAATATACAAGTACATCACTATATTAAGATTAATATATTGTAATGGGGAAAGAGAAATTCTTTTTCAAGTGAAATTTCTTATGTGAGGGGCTTGAATGCTGAATCGGCAACCTTTTCTGTGACGAAACCAATTGCACGGCAACAGGCGCACATAAAAAGCAAGTAAACCAGCTGGCAAAATTTAAATTATGAATGTAAATAAACAACAAATGTTTCCAACGGTTTTTCTATCTATTTTTAGTGGGTCTAGACAGGCGTATTTCTAGCGGGTTTTCTGCCCTTTCTCTAGCTACCTTTAATTGTTTTTCTTGCTAGTTTTCAGCGAGTTTCGTATTTTTAAGCCCTTTTCTATCGGTTTCTAGGGGGTTTTCTGCATTTTCACCCTTTTTCTAGCTACTTTTAATTATTTTTCCCGCTAGTTTCTGGCGGGTTTTCTGCCCTTTCGCCCTTTCTCTAGCTACTTTTAATTGTTTTTCTTGCCGGTTTTTAGCGAGTTTCCTATTTTTAAGCCCTTTTCTAGCAGTTCCTAGCTCGATTACCATTTTCTAGCCATTCTTTACAAGCCAAATTTAAATTAGCAAACAATCATTGATAAAATTACAAAGGAACCCCTCACCAATCTTTAATGTGTTTTAATTTGTCAGATACTGGTCCCACTGATTGGGCTTATTATTGTTATTTCTTGATACATAGATCGACCTGTGTGTGAGATAAATTGTGATAAACATGGATACCAATAATTAAAACATTCGATATATTTTACAATGCAACTCAATCACCTGATATTGTGAACAATGTTTATGGCCCCGATACTCAGGTCTCTGCTAATTATTAACTAAACGGAATATAATCGTCTCTGACCTAAATCGAGCAACATAATCCGTAAGCCCAAGAAAATATTAAACTCTTAAGCTTTTTTATTGATCTTCAAAGTGCGGAATGAAAGAACAATTTCTTGAATTGCATAATCTTTTGAATAACTTAGTTAAATGTTTATTTTAATTGATTTACAAAAAACGAAAAAGTTCCAAAATTTATTTAAAAAAAGAAATTTATGTAATATGAATTGGGCAAAAAAAAATAGCAGGGATTTCTTCTTTTTGAATCTTCAGAAAGCGAAGATCAAAAGAATGCTTGAATCGCTATGCGAAATTTATAAAAGATTTCAATGAACAACGTTATTTGTATAATAAATAAAATGACTCGAAATCGTTCACAATTTTTCAATACAAAATCTGAGAAATAGCCTACAACAAGAAGAATTAAAGAGGCTACAAAATAGAGTTGTTTTCAACCAGCTCTACAACTTACTATTTTCAGCATTCTACCATTGAAATAGCATCTTCTATAAATTGTTGCCAAACAATATTTGCAGATTGTTGTTAAAAAAACTAGAACCAAAATAGAGAGCTAACATAAAGTCGAGTTGAAAATAGAGTTCTTTTCGCCAAGAAAACTATCTGCTATGTATCTACGATACTAACTAATTGCTTATTGCAAACTTTATATCCCTTTCATTGTTTTGCTGAAAGACGAAACAAATCGTAATGAGTTTCAGATCCAAGAAACGTGATTAAAAAACGTATCCAACTCTCTAACCATCTGAAAAGAGATGCATGGCCAACGAATCGTAATATCTATTCAAACGCTATCTCAAGTTAAGAGTCCTTTAAGAATGGAAGAAAGTCAATAATATGCTTGAAAGCTCGCCTGGACAATCATTTATAATAAGCTTTTTAAAATGTTCTAAGGCAAGATAGAGCAGGAGACCAATCAGAAAGCTAACACACTCGCACTAACGCAACTAACCTGAAAATTGTGCCGATATATATCATATCGGTGCGGGTTGTGAGTGTGGGTGTGGGTGTGGGTGTGTCTGTGTCTCTGTGAGTGTCTGTAAAGGAGAGTATATGTGTGTTTTTGTGTGTAATAATGGAACACCTGCTAATGCCAAAAGCTTGATGACCACACGCCACTCGCCTGCGGGATAGCAAACATCGGAATGCAAACACGCTTACGGCAGTCCCTACTCTGCGCTTCTCAAAGCATACATACTTGTATTTATACACACACAAATGTACATTTAAACCAATTCATCAAAGCGACATGCAAACATAACTGTGTATGTATACACTCCCACCCGGCTATATACACATATGGATGTATGTACATACATACAAGTATATGTAAGCATATGCGTTCGCAGGTGATGCCACAAAACTAATTTGGAGAACTTTCAAATCTAACAATAAAAATCAATAATTCAGCTATAAATACAAACAACCATTGTAAATTATGCAAGAAAGCCGCTCGCACCGATAACACAACGAACAAATACAAAATAATAAAATATAACGACTTTTCTATACTCTGCATTCGACACTCTGTTTTCTCTGCTTTGTTCCAGCAATAGTTCCACTGGAAAATCCATTATTCAGTAAAAACTTATTTAAACAAAATTTGTTTAAGATATCTCCACAAGTAAATAAGTTATTCTAGCAGAAGTGGTCGTTCCTTTATGGAAGCTACACGATATACTTGTAGTGCATCGATTTTGATGAACTTATAATGGGATATTATCCAACACTCGTAAAAGTTACATTTATTTGAAAATAATTCTTTCTCCAATCGCTCCTATGGCAGCTATACGAGTATAAAATTTCATGGCATATTTAAAACCAATTAATACTACATTGCATACAAATTTGTTGAGTAATTTCTACTCGGCTCGTTTCTGTGGTAGCTATTAGATATATTGAACCGATTGAGATGAAAGCTTACAATACATTGGGACACTATAATAATTAATTTGTAACAAATTTGGTTGGGAAGCATTTTAAAGAAAAAAAAAAGGTGTTTACGATCGTTTCTGTGGCAGCAATGTGAAAAAGTTAAGTTATAGTTAACTTCAGTTTAGTTTAGTTTAGTTTAGTTTAGTTTAGTTTAGTTTAGTTTAGTTTAGTTAAGTTAAGTTAAGTTAAGTTAAGTTAAGTTAAGTTAAATTAAGTTATAGTTGAGTTAAGTTAAGTTAAGTTATAGGTATAGGTAAGTTAGCTAGCCGTTTGGCAACTAAAATTCCCCCACCGAGTCATATTCGTAATTAGACATATTTGTTATTTCTATAGGCTCTGTTTTTCTTTAGTTTTATCTAGTATAAGTTCGGTACTGTTTTGATTTTATTTTTTCGCAAATCAACAGCTCTGTTTGTCGATAAAATAAATAAATATATTGATAGACCAAAACATGGTCTGCGCATGAATGAGACGTGAATATACAGCCACGTTTGGTGTCCCCTGCTGTTATAGTTCAAATGTTATCGATGTTCATACAGACAGACAAACAGACAGACAGTCGAACAGCCGAACGGATGAACTTGTCTGTATCAATGCAGATATATAACTTGTGTTCTACCACGCCTTCTTCAGTTCTATTCATTTGATGTTACGACTTTTAAGTACATTCCTTCTCACCCTTTCGGGAAAGGGAATATAAAATTAGAAAAACAAAGTAACTTGCTGGTTCTATTGTTTTGACAATGGGGCACCTGGGCTAATGTCGGGATGCATGGCAAAATGAAAAGTCGAACACCTGCCTGCTTCTGTTTCTGCTTACTCCGTCCGTCCGTTAGTCAGTCCGTCAGTCCGTCCATCTGTCCGCCCTGACTCGACGTTTGCATGTCGAGCGTGCCACTAATAATAGACACAAGTGCAGTGCCCAGCCCAGGGCGCAAGTCAATCTGCTGATATACACATATATATATGTACATACAAACATATACATACATATACATATATATATATATATATATATGTATATAAATGTAGTTTGTCTGTAGTATATGCTGGCCAGCTATAAAGCATTGACTCTAATTTGTTGTGTCTGAACACTGCAGGCACTTTTCTGCTTTACTGCAGTAAGCTCTGCAGTTACGGCTCCCATTTTACAGTTCCAATTTATATTTAAATGGAACCGACACCGTTTGGGGCTACAGCTGGGCGTGCCCTAACTGTACTTCAGTCTCTATTAGCCCTCGGTCCACCTTATGGCTAGATATAACCGTATACTTATAGCGTAGCAAATACGGGGTAGATGCATACATTTTAACTACACTTTGAACTTCTATTTGGGGAATTATTGAATTTTACTTCGGTAACATTTTTGGGGGAGCAAATTATTTCAAATTATTTAATTTAAACATTTATTAAAATTATTTATTTATATTGAATAGATTATATATTCGCTGAAAAGGGAAGGGCTCAGTAGGAGTAAAGTAAAAGACAATAGTCGCGGACCGCCGTGCGTCTGTTCGCTTTAGAGTTTTATTGGAGACTGACACTTTTGCTATACATATTCTTTATGCTTACATTCGTATGCAACAGTGACAGATAACTTGTAGATAACATAAGATTATTATCTGCTTATATTAACATGCGTGCATTGGTACTTATGTTTGTATTGATTTTCAACACCCTTCCTCAATGCAAACATGTTTTACAAAAATTTTCAAATCAAATTTAACAGCTTTGTAAAATGAACATGCTTCGCTTTAGGGAGATTTTTCGTTAAAATATCAGCTATCATTTCATTGGTTGATGTATACTGTAAAACAATTTGTTCTTCGTTTACAACCTGTCTTGCAAAATGATATCTAATATCAATATGCTTTGTTCTTTCATGGTGTACAGGATTCTTAGCTAATTGTTGAGCACTTAAATTATCGCCATGAAGAATAGTTGGAGTACTCGAGTCACCGCAGCCAATCTCCACTATAAGACGCCGTAGGTATATGGCCTCCTTACACGCAGTTGAAAGAGCCATATACTCCGCCTCCGTGCTGCTAAGTGCCACGCTGCGTTGCTTTTCAGATCGCCAGGATATGGGTCCTCCAGCCAAGTAGTATACATAGCCAGTATACGACTTGCGATCGATGCGGTC